TGTCTGAGATTTGCACTGTGACCGGACTAAGGTCATCTGATCTCCAAGGTCCTATTTCATGTGTGGACAGAGGCAGCCCATCTCTGGGGACAGCAGAGGACATATGATTGACAGACAGCATCCTGTACAGAGTTAGGATTATCATGAGATTCCTGGTACCCAGGGTGTTAAAGACCACCTCCCCTCCCTCCCCTCCCTCCGCCCCAGGACTCTTTGGAAGAAAGTTTGTATTTTTTACTTAACGTGTATGTACTACATGTATGCAGACGCACATGGAGGTCAGAAGAGGGCACTGGATAGCTTAGAGTTCAGTTTAGCTAGTTGTAAGCAGCTGAACGTGACCTTGGGGCTTCGGGGTGAACAGTGGGCGTTCTTGTCACTGAGCAATCTCTCTGGACCCTGTTTGGACTCTTTTGGCAATCAGTGGCCCTTGCCTTTCCTAAGATGCCCACTGAAGATACCAAGCTATGGGTCTTTGCAGCCATCAGGCCACCCAGGGTGTCTGCTCTGTAGAAGTGTATCTAGGAGGGAGTGTATCTGGCTTCTCTAGCTCCCACTATCACCATTCTGGCAACTTCCATCCTAATGCCCTCCAATTTGGACTCCATCCCTTGCTCTTCTTTTCCTAACCCCTCTTCCTTTCCCGTCTAGAACACACATTGACATTCTGGACTTGAGTCATGGTCTGGTTAGAGTCTACAGATCCTTAGAGTTGTAAGAGGAGGCCTGGGCAGCAGTGGTAAGGGCTGAGTTCTGGTGCATTCTCTGTTTTGGGTTGGCCTGGCCATGCCTGATGTGGGTTTGGGGTCTGACTTGGGATCTGAAGTAGACAGACGGGCTAGGGTTCAGGTTTCTGCCAGGTAGTTCTGCCAACCACCTGGGTGGGAGATGGCCCCAAAGTTTACAAAAGGGCAGAGTTGCAGATTCAGAGCTGGTGGAAGAGTGGGGAAGCTGTGCTAGGCATTGTTACTGGGAAGCTGGAGAGGCAGCAAAGTAATCAGGAGGGGATACGCCAGTGTTTAGGCTTAGACGGCCTCGGGGACTGTGACCTCAAAGGTCTGAATGGCAGCAGGAGACCCCAGGAGCCTGAGCCTGCTCTGGAGATGACATAAGTCTATAGACTGCAGAGCCTCTGATTTGGAAGGAAGCAAACGCTGTTGTTCCAGAGGGCTCAGGCTGAGACGATAGCTCGGAAGGGCGTGTCTGGGGGGGCCCAAGCCTCACTGCCTTGTGATTGTTCCTCCAACTCGACACAGCACTGTGCAAACTCCACTGTTCTTCATCAGACTTTTGGAAGGCCTCAAGGAAGGGAAGGATCTCCCTGGGGTCCAGAGGACGAAGAAGTCCCAGAGTGTTTTTGTGGGAACCCTAGATGGCCCGAGTGGCGGTGTGGCCCTGCCGCCCTTCTGTCCAGTGCACCCTTTCTGGTTAGTGATCTGGGGTTCTAGCCTGCTTTTCCCTCCCACCCCCAGGTAACCTTTTGGACTGGTTGGTTCTAATCGCAGTCTCTTGTCCTGTGCTCCAGGTTGGTGACTGTGTGCTGGGCCAGAGGGAGGTATTTTCCTTACAAAGAAGAGGTGCTCCCATCTGGGTTCGCTCACACATAGTATGATCTTCTTTCTCCTCATTGGCCCATGGCATGTGACTCCAACAAGATGAAGCCCTTCCCCACCTGGTCTGCCAGCCGCGGTGAAGCCTGTATTATTGACAATGCCTTCTAAAGGGTGTCAGAGGTGCAGGCAGAAGCCAGCCCAGCGTGTCCTGCCCTGGTGGCTTAGAATCCTGCTATGGGGAGGTTAACCTCAGCTGCACTTCCTTCACCCAAATTCTTCTCCTCTACAAAGGCAAAGACTAAATCAATGAAGCTTCGAACCATGGAGTAAGCAAGACCAGAGATTGCTGGCCTGGAAAATTTGAAAGCAAAAACTCAAGAGAACGACTAAGAGGGAAAACAAACAAAAAATTACAGTCTTATAAAAGAAGATCCAATAAACATAAGCACTAAAAATGAGACGAAAGAGGTTGGCAAGAAGGGTAAAGGAGACAAAGCAGAGTTGGATCATTGTCATTCAACAGATGTGCCAGGCGGCTGCAGAGGCAATGGAGGAAATAAGCAATAAGTGTCTTAAAAAAAAAAAGTCTGGGGTATACCCCAGTATCCTGCATACACCTGGAATCCCATCTTGGGGGTTGAAGAAGGAGGATCTCAAATTCAAGGGTGGTGTAAGCTGCAATGGTGAAACCTTGCCTCAATAAACAAACAAACATAAACAAAAACAAAGCAACAGTAGAAAACTGGGTATGGAGGACTTATCTCCTGGGCTCAGGTCCTACTGGTGAGCAGGTTCTTTGGAGCCTGTGGGGTAGCACTCTTTCCTAGATGCCGGCTGACCCCAACATGGCTTGACTTGGGTCTCTTCCTCTCCTCTTTTCTGTACACACAAGGGAGCTGGGTGCCCATATCTAAACCGGTAGGTTCCTTGGGCTGGCAGGGGTCTCTGCCAGCTGCACCCTTCCAGCAAGTCTGGTTGGCATGCGCCAGCAAGCTCCAGCCAGCTGTGCTGTGCTAGGAGAGAGATGCAGGATCACTGGTAGTCTGGGTAGCTCCCTGGGAGAGAGCATGGTTAGGAAGCCACCTGGGCTGGGTCTGGTCAGCGGTGGCTCTACTTGGGCAGGCAGCTCCTCAGGCCTATGCCAGGGTGACAGGCCACAGGGAAGGCCAGGATTTCAGGTGCTATGGGCTGGAATGAGAGCGGCAAAGGACAAAGGAGAAATTTATGTTTCAGTAGTGACCATCACAATGGTTGTGGCTTCCAAGTAGACACCTGTGGCCTCTCTCTCTTTGCCTGCGCATTCCCCCCCCCCCCCCCCGCAGCTCTGGTGGCCAACTGCGGGGCTCCCAGCAGTACGTTAGTGGACAGACCTGATGGCTACCATCTTCTTCAGTCTCCATGTGTGTAAAATTCTACCTCCTAGGAAGGAAAGGAGGGCTGAGCCCAGGTCTTCACGGGACACGTGCTATATAAATGTAGTTAGAATCAGCATCACTGAAGAACACGTTCCCGGAGGCAAGTTCTGAGCTACAAGGAAGGACTCATCCACTCACTCTTGATTTCCACGAATACAGCTTTGTGTAGCGAGGAATAACTCAAGAAGACCGAGATAACACCCGAGTGGGTGTACCCCATGCTCACCCTGCTTGCACACTGCTGTGACTGGAACATGGAGATGATCGGGGGCTATTCCTGACCTTTTGACCTTTGAAGACTCTAAGCGGTGACTCTGCCACACTTCCCACCATGGAGTTGGTCGGTCCCCACAGGAACTAAACTGCTAAATACTGAAGCCGATGAGACTTTAATTCCCACTTTCCTACAGCTTTTCAGCCAGGGAATGCTGGTACTTCGCAAGGCTGGAAACTGGAGACAAGGGGATTTTGGACCAGCGGGATGGGCATCCCCCCTCCCACCTCAGGGCCCTAAGGCTTGCTGCCTGTAGAACTCAGTTGTGTGGAACCACATTGGGCCCTGCATCCCACACTCCCACCTGCAGCTGTGGTGGTCATTTCTCTCTTTTTGCCCACCAGGCCCCCCTCATCACAGAACAGTGTTCCTTGCTGTTCCTGCCGCCCCATTTCCCCTCTGTTCTGCTGAGGTATTGCCTAACAGCGTCCAGCACCCCCCTGGCCCTTCTGAACAGCATCCACACCCAACCCCTTTAAAGCAGAATTTGTCGGCGATAACTCAGTGGCTGGCAGCTCGACACTCACACAAATGTACACTCCCCACACAATTCTTTCTTCTCTTCCTGTTTTGGCTCACTAGCAGCATGGAACGCCTGCCTGCAAGCCTCTCCTCCCTTGGTAGCCTTTCCTAACTGTCATCTCCTCCCGGAAGCTACAGCTACCTTTACTTTCAAGCTAGGTCAGAGCCCAGGCCTGAAGCTCCTCTACAGTCCTCTCCAAATCTTTTTCTGGCCTATGTGGGTGTCTAGCTTTCCCACGGTGCTGGGAGCTCTAGACCAGGCTGCAGCCCAGTCTCTCTTGGTCCCTCGAACCCAGCGCTTATCTTGGCGCCCAGTTCTGCCAGGCCAGTTTCACTGTCTCCCTGAAATCTTGGGTATGTTAAGTGGAGCTCAGTCCAACTAGAACCTGGGGAGAGGATTGTGAGCCCGGCTAGCTCGATCCCTCTCCCTGGCTCGGTCCCTCAGCAGTTTCACCCTTTATATGGAGGTTCGCCTAGAGGCAGGGCACCCAGAGGCGGCGGGAGTCCGGCTTTGCTTCCGCGGCTGGCAGCGGGCTCTCCGCCCGGGCTCGCCCTAGAAGGCTTCGTGCAGGGTCGCTGTCTGAGTGCGCCGTCCGCTTGGAAGGCTCCTCACGTCCAGGCGCCGCGGTCACGGCTGCGCCGGTTTCCGGCCATGAATTGGGCTTCAGAGTCCGAGCCTCCTGCCCGACTCCCGGCGCAGTGCACCGCCCTGGGGGCGGGGGATGGATGTCCGCCGAAGTCTGCACGGACAGCTAGGGTTCGAGCCCGCCACCAGCCCGCTAGCATCCTGGTGCCTGGCTCAGTGCCCCGGGCCTTGTGGTCTATCTGCAGGCTGCCAAAGTCGAGGGTCCGGTTCCGAGAGCGCCTGTCCATTCCGGCCACTGCAGACTCGGCTGAAGTCCCCCATCGCCAGAAAGCTCTGAGACCCCCACCTCCTCGAGGGCAATCAGTGGCCGTGCCTCCCCCGTTTCTCCCGCGAACCCTGAGACCAGGCCCGCACGGCCAAGCCTCTTCTCGCCGCAGACGGGTCAGGTCCCCACCGCGGTACCGGCCTCGGAGCATCCCCCGGCGGAGAGCACGGAGCACCGGGCGCCCCCTCCAAGCAACGAGCGAGCAAGCCGCGCGCGGCGAGGCTAAGGCTCCGCAGTCACGTGGTGGAGAGGAGGGCGGAGGGGAGAGAGGCGGGCGGGAGGGGAGGGGGAGCGCCGCCGAGGGGGAGGGGGAGGGGAGGGGGCGTCCTCCGCAGTTCGCTCCTTGCCTGGGCTCAGACACACAGCCAGCCCGGAGCCGCCGCTCGGGCCGGGCCGCCGCCGCCGCCTCTGCCTCTGCCTACCCCAGAGCCGCTCGAGCCGCTGAAAGCGTCGCCGCCACAGCCGCGGGCCGCCCCCGCCGCGCCGGCCTGGGCTCGGGCTGCGAGCGCCGCCGCAACCGCAACCGGAGCCGGCGCGGGAGCCCGAGAGCACTGGGCTGGGCTGGGCTGGGGCGGGCGCAGGGCGCAGGGGCGGGAGCGCGGGGGAAGACGCACGGGCGGGCTCGGCTCTCCCGGGGAGCGGCCCGGGACTGCACCGGGACCCGCGCCTCCCCGCTCCGCGCTGCCCTCGGCCTCGCCCCGGGCCCGGGCGGATGAGCCGCGCGCCCGGGGGACATGGAAGCGCTGACGCTGTGGCTTCTTCCCTGGATATGCCAGTGCGTTACGGTGCGGGCCGACTCCATCATCCACATCGGTGAGCTCGGAGGACGGACGGGCCGAGGCTGGGCGGGGACCCCCCAATAGAGACGTTGATGCGCGGCGTCCAAACTTGTCGGTTCCCCGGGCCGAAGGGCTCGGCAGGCGGTGGTCCCCTAAAGGCCCGCGCCGCCCCGCGGAGGAGCTGTGCTTCTGCCGCTCGGCGCTCCTGCGGGCACCTCGCTGCTCCCTGGGGCTCCTGCCAGTGCGCGGGGCCCCGCGGCCTCTGCCGACACTTAGGGCCGCGGCAGCGGGGAACCCGGGAATAGACGCTTGTCGAGATGCGTGCCCCTAGCGGGACCGTCGGCAAGCTGGGCCCTGAGGCACAGCCTGAGCATTGGGACCAGGGGCGAACAGAGCTGGGGGCTAGCTAAGTTGGCAGGGCAAGATCAAAGAGGCCAAAACGGAACCATGTGTGACTGTGGATGGGTGCTGTCAACGTGCCAGTGTGTGTGCACCTGGCACGGTGTTGGTGTCACTGTGAGAGGGCGCTGGGGTGTGTGGGGCCATCCGAGAGTGTGTTAGTGCGACTACCGCGTTCTGCCAGCCTGTTAGAGTGGACACAGTGCTTGCCTGTTTCCCCGGTGTGTGTCTGTTGTAGCTCTCGGTGTGTGTGTGTGTGTTTCTGGTTGTGACAACTGCAGCTCAATCCTGGACAGTTTCAGAGTTTCTGCCTGGTCTAAGTCTTGGGGCCAGCATACAGATACAGTCTGGGTGGTGGGGTGGAGGGAAGGAGCGTGGGCCGTGGGGTTGGGGGCGCTGAGCAAGAAGAGATAGATGGAGAGGAAGGAGATGAAAAGCAAAGGAAGGGGCGATCAGAGGAGGGGTAGTGGTGGGAGTTAGGAGCAGAATGACTGGGGTCTTGAGAGAAGTTGGGCATGGTTGGGGGACTGACAGCGGTCGCTTTGGGGGAGCTCCTCCGCAGTCGCCTTTCCGGAAGTTGGGAAAGACCAGCGAACAGGGACAAACTGGGGGTTGGGAGGTGTGAGAAAACGTGGCTGATGTTACCCGCGGGGCAGAAAGAGGTGATGAGGGACCAAGTCCCTACTCCAAGGGCTGCAACGCTTCCCTCCGGGGACGGGCCAGGATCTAAACCTGCTTCCCGCCCAGGAGTCGGCGTGGGTCTCGCGGTCAGCATTGCGGCTCCAGTGTAGTGTGGAATCCAGGAGCTGAGCCCTTCTACCCAGCTCTCAGCTCCAGAGCAATTAGCCAAGCAATAGGACCTCGGCGACCCTTGGCACGTGGCAAAAGGGCTGGGGTGGGGATCCCAGATCAGATCCTACTGATCTCCACTGTAAGGGCAGGATCAGTGAAAGCGTCAGGTCAGCCGGAGCTCTGGAGGAGCCATCCTAGCTTCTAGAATGACCGACTGTTTAAGAGTGGTTTCTTCTGGGACTCTCAACACTGCTAGATCAGAAGGTTTGGGGGTATAGGATACAGCCCCACCCCTCCAGACATACAGGAAGAGGAAGTGAGAGACCAGAGCAGAGACACATGCAACATCTCGACCATTCAAGATACTGGTTATCAATTCCTTGTGTATGCCTAAAGGAAAAAACCCTTGGTGCAGGAGAGCAAACTGTGGACCACAGTCTCACTTCTGCATTCATCAGGGAATGCAAAGAAAAAAGGAGCACCACTTCATTACTGGGATTGGTCTGGGGACGTTTCCTCTTGGAGAATTCACTTTGGCTCCTGGGGATGGGATTTATGGGACCATGTCAGGTGCATTTGAGCGGGAGGCTACCTCAGCATGCCACATCTTCTGTGTGGGGCATGACTGGGACATGTGATGCTTTGGTTATGAAGCACATGTGACCTGATGGTAGCGTGAAGGATATGCAGGTGTAACTCATGTTAACTGTGCGCACGTGTTTGATGTGGGGAGGGGAGCATATCCTGTTTGGGTTACATAGGGAGGTCTTTAAATTACCCAATCAAAACAGAATCCTGAACTGAGACTGATGGTGCATGCCTGTAATCACAATACTTGGGAAGGCTGAGGCAGGAGGATCACCGTGAACTCAAGTCCAGTTAGGGCTATGGAAGGAGAATCTGTCTCAAAAAAGCATTATAAACATTCTAGCTCAATCCTCCCACCACTTGGTACCCAGTGGTCCAGGCAATACCCCCATCCTAGGATGGAAGTAAGGTGGGAAGGGTTCCTCTCCAGGCCTGGTCTTGACCCCTCTTCTCCCTCAGGTGCCATCTTCGAGGAGAACGCAGCCAAGGACGACAGGGTGTTCCAGTTGGCTGTATCAGACCTGAGCCTCAATGATGACATCCTGCAGAGTGAGAAGATCACTTACTCCATCAAGGTCATCGAGGCCAATAACCCGTTCCAGGCAGTGCAGGAAGGTGAGTGGCCACTGAGCCCATGCATGAGTCACTGGGCTGCAGCCAGTGAGGCCGAGTAGCAATGGGTCCAGGCAGAGTTGCTACCCAGTCGGTTGTGCAGAATCTCCTAGGCGCCAGGTCTGCCTGCTGCTATGCCAGGCGTGGTGGCGTGTCCTCCCAGGCCTAGCAAGATAGGGCGGCTCCATACTGTCAGGGCAAGCGAAAAGCCTCTATGTACTTACTGCAAGCGGGTCTCCTGGCAGAACTGTGCGGATAAATGGGTGCGTGTGTGAGCCGCTGATCAGGCGCGTGGCTCAGGGTCAGCTTTGTTTTTCGCGTGTTTGTGGGTGGGTGTGTCTTCGTGCCTGTGTCTCGTGCACCTCCCCAGAAGCCTCTTGTGGCCTGCAGCCTACAGGAGCTCGGCTCACGGAGCTTGTCCTGTAAGCCCTGTCAGTCGCACAGCCTGGCTGGCGCGGTTGCACAGCCTGTGGGGCCTCGGAGCTTCAGCCCTGCGGGCCCTCGGCTTCTCTCCTCTCTGCCTGGCTCCACTGTGTGTGAAGCAGCCGGTTTCTTTGCCGGGCTGCGTTGCGGGCCTAGGGAGGCGTTGCTGCCTGGACCGGAGGTGGGCGCTGTTTGCTCAGGAAAAGAGAAGAGCTGGACTAGGTCTGATGACAGGAAAAATCTTAGCAGGCTGGCCGCTGCAGCTGTATTTCCCTGCAGTCATCTTGCTGAGACTCCGAGGCAGGGGCAACAGGTGGGCAGCCAGTGAGACCATCACCCTTTGCCGGCTTTCTCTGGTACCTGCACTCATGGAGTGTTCTTAGCTCTGTGCAGGCAAAACACACATACACCTAAAACAATGGGGGCCGCGGCTTTCAGCATTGGCAGGCGACTCTTGTCTGATTTCTTCGGGTGCATTAGTGGCAGCGGCTTCCTCTGCCTTTTCCTCCCTGTGCGTTCCCTCGCTCCTCCTTGGCTGACTGCTCTGGAAGTGTTCCTTCTCTCGTGCTGTTGATTCCCGGTCAAGGACCTTACTGCTGCTCAGCCACGCTCTTCTTCCTCTTTGCCTTGTTTACCACAAGCAGGGCTCCGCTGTGGCGCCAGTGCCCTGAAGTGCTGAGGACACAAGGGTACAGCTGGAAGCGCAGCATGCAGGGACGTCTTCCCAGAACTGGCAGGACTGTGGGGTAGGGAGGGGGTGGGGTGACTGAGAACTCTGCTGCCCATCTCTCCTTGGACTTGCTGGGCCGAGGGTCTTCCTGTCACCTTGGGGTTGCATACTGTCTGCCAGTCTCCAGGTACCTTCAAAAATGAGGTGAGTCGGTGAGGGATACAGGCTATAGCTAGTGCTGGGATCTTACTGTAGCATGGAGGGCTCTGAGGGCCTCCTGGCTGTAGGTGCAGCAAAGGATGGAAAGGTGGCCAGCCCTTGGGGAGGGACTGCCTGACTGTAAGGCTCAAAGTATGAAGGACGTTTGAATTGTTCACATCTCCAGTCCCAAGTGCTGAGCTATGGTGGTGGTTGTGACTGGTGCTGTTTATTCCGAAAACTGCTGGGGCTGGTGATGTGGTATGGTAGTCAGTAACACTTCCTGCTCTTGAAGAGGACCCTGATTTGATTCCCAACACCCATATAGTAGCTCACAACTGCCTGTAACTTCAGTTCCAGGGGCATCCGACGCCCCCTTCTGGCCTTTGCTGGTAAGTACATATGTGCAGGCAAAACATCCACACACATACAACAGTAAGAGCTGCTGCTTCTGGTATTGGCAGATGTCTGTTGTCTTAAGTCCTCTGAAGTAGAGGCATGGGGGAGTCCCTGTCCTTCTTGTGTGACCTCATCCCACCGTCTGTCTCCAGATGCCCTCTGACCTCAGACTTTTTGCGTGCTGTCGTCATGGTTCCTCAGGGCCCCTGCCTGTGTCCCTTATAGGACAGGAGTACCCCTATTAAGGCTGTTGCTTCTGACAGCTCTCTGTCTGCTGTAAACAAAAGTGTAAGGCATCCTTTGCTCTTTCACTGTGCCCCCGAGTGAAGTACAGCCATCTCTACCAGACGCACCCCAGGGACTGACGGTGCTGGTCTTACATAGGTTCTACCCTGAGGCCGGATGCACACACATAGGTGAACCGCCCCCAGGAGAGGTCATCTTTGTGTCAAGGAGCAGCTGTAACACAGCTTCGGTTGATTAGTGCCCTGTTGGCGTGAAAAGTTCTAGATTTCTGCATGTATCTATTTTGTAAAGAGAAGCCTCCAGTCTGCACTTCAGGGTAGAACTGGATGCTCTTGCGGGCAGGGCTTTGCTGCATAGCTCAGGCTGCCCTCCTGTTTCAGCCTCTTGAATGCTGGGCCTATAGGTGACCCTGACTCCACCACCACACTTGGCTGTCACATTTGGTTTTTAACTTGTTAACCAACGGAACAATTTGAAGAATAAACAAAACACAGCTTTGTGCCATTTGACCTTCAAACCCCCAAAACAACTTTGTCCTGCCAATAAAGGCTCTAGCCAGGGCCTTTTACTGGTTCAGCCCGCCCCTTTTTAATGGTTGTTACTTACTTTATTTGTGTAACTGGAAGAATGTCTCTGCTTCCAAGGATGGCAAGTTGGCAGTCTCAGAAGGGTATGGGAGTATTTCTGCACATCTGGAATGAGGGAGTGAGATGATGAGGGTCCCTGGTTTCTCTGTATAGAAACACTGGGCAGGTGCTGTTGCTGAGCTGGTCCATGCTGGTTAAAACTGGCATGCACTTTCAACCTTGGGAGTGGCATGGCCTGAAATCTATCTTGTTATCCATCTCATGGCCTTGGATAGCTCCTGGGTACCTACAAGGAAAGGAAGGAGCTATCGGTGGATGCCTTGGGAAAAACTGAGCATTGCTTAGCAGCCTTTTCCCCTTTGCCTAATGCTTATGGAGCAAGCATTCAGTTCATTGGGTCTCCTTTCTTGCTTTTCTATGGGGGTGATTGCCGGGTCATGCTGGGTGGATACTCCAGCCTTTTCTCCATAGCTTGGACACTTCCTGCATGGAGAACAAGGGCATGCTGGGATTCAGTCTTTATCACAGGTGCCCAGTGTGTCCCAAGGGATCTGGGATTGGAGCAATGCTGCCTTGTTTTAATTTGAGAGGCAGCACCCCGACCCAGAGATGGGGGCCTGATTGCTGGAGCCCAAAGATGAGAGCTTGCCTCGCTCACCGCATGACCTGGGGGAGTCTTGGCCCTGTGACGAGCTTCTGTTTCTAGATCTGTTAAAAGGGAATAATTGTAGTCTCTGCCTCCTGGGATTATTGGGAGGATTAAATGAGATGAGACGTGTATAAATTGCCTGTATAAGGCCCGAGGTTGGTGTTCAGTAAACACTAATTCCCTCCCTGTTCTCTGACCCAGCTCTGGCTGGCTTTTCCTCAGCATCTCTTCAGGCTGTTGATATTTTCAACTACATAGTTTTCTAAGCTGTGAGAGAGGACCCTGAATGACCTTTTCATTTCCAGCTTTTACTACCCCCCCCCCCAGTTATAAAAGGAATGCATGGCCACAATGAACATGGATTACTATTAAAACGTGAGAAAGAAAGAGGCCAGTGCATGCTCATTATATAAAACGTGGAAGGGGTGGAGAACAGCAAGGAGCAGAGCGGAATCCTCCTGAACCCTACTGCATTATTTTCTTCTATCTTTTCTCTTCCTTTGTATTTATGAATGATGAGGGCTCTCATTGTGTTTCATGCTCCATACTATTGGCTTTTTTCTGAAACCTCCATGAACCAATTGTAAACATTTCTTCTAGTGCCTGCATGTGCCGACATGCACTTTTTTTTAAAAAAAAAAACAGAAATGGTACTATTTATGCAAAGATATGCATCCTTAAGTATTTCTGAAGAAAACAAGAAACTCTCCTTGGATGGATGTGCTGGCCATAAGATTTATTCCTATGATCTCATCGGAATGATCCTACAAACTCCTTATGAGCACTGTCTTAGGATAGTATGTAGGATATGTGCTTTATGAAGCTCTAAAATTAATAAACAACACCGTGGAACAGTTAAGGCTCTAAAATGTTGCGTCTTTGGTTGTTGAAGTTTGCATTAACCCGCTCTACAAGACAAATAGGAGAAAAAGATACTAATTTGTTGAAAAAGTCATACTGTTTTTCAGTGCCTGCTCAAGCAGAAGATTATGTAAATGCATAAAAGAACGGGCTGCACCCGAGTCTTCTTTTACAGAATTATCTTTTACTGTGAGGAAAAGATGCGAGACGTTGGATACGCTGTAGCTGTATCTGTCACATCAAGGAAAGATAACAGTTTAAGGGAGAGGTAGAGCAAACGATGTGAGACGATATTCTTAGTTACCAGAAGCACAAGAAAAAGACAAGGTAAAGGGGTGGGGGCGCAGCCCAGTGGCTGGAGCGCTTGTCTCGCGGGCCCAGAGCCCTGGGTTTGACCCTCAGCACCACACAAACCAGGTGTGGGAATGCACACCCTTACTACGAGCATTTGGGAGGTAGGGGCAGGGGGATTGGAAGTTCAAGTTTATCCTCAGCTGCAAAGCGACTTTAATGGCAGCCTGGGCTACATGAGACCTTGCTTGTTTCAAAAGAGAAGAGGGGGTGGTGGGGGAAGACAAAATCAAGAGTGGGGATGTGGTGGGGTGTTCACCTACATGTGAGGCTCTGAGCCCAAAGCTTAATACCACATTAAAAAAAAACCAAAAAAGCTAAAGTGTTCTAAGTATAGATTACTGTTGACAGAATGAGAGAATGCGATTTAAAGACACAGAAATTCGTAGATAGCCATTTCTGAAGGTCTGGCAAGCTTGCCCCTTCACCTTCCTCCTGGGTGATCTGGCCCTCGCTTTGCCACACTGGTGGTGTGTCCTGCTAGTGGGCCTCTTCGCTGACCACTGCTTCCTCTCTTACTTCTGCTCAGAACTGCAGGGTTCACTGAGGCTACATCCTGGCATCCCTGAGGGCATCTTCTTCAAGATACTGAAGGCTTTGCCAGGTGCGCTGAGTGAGA